TGGAAATAGTATCGCGTTCTTAGTTAAACTCTAAAGAAATTCTCACCTAGTTCTGTGATTGGTTTTGTTCAGGTCTCAGGAGCTCGCTCTCCCTCCCTCTAGTAACTGGTAATGAGAAGGCCTTGCTGCTTTGGGATGCCCTAGAGGCTACCACAGAGCGAGAGCACCAGCCAGGCAGGAACATTCCTTCATGCCTTTCTTCCTACCTGTGTAGGAACTACGCTAGAGACCAAGCCCTTGTCCTGTCCCATCTTTTGGCTGGAGGCTTCATGGGTGTCTCTGGGAATGGGGCAGACAGTCCGCAGCATGAGACCAAGCCCAGGTGGTGGTGCAGTGGCTGAGAAGCCAGCTCTTTTCAGTGCTGTCTCTAGCCAATCCCTCTGCCGACGCTCTGCGTTGACCAGTTGTAAAGACGGGGGAACCCGCCCCTTCTGGGTTGATGGCAGCAGTCATGCTGCGGTGCCACTGAGAGGTCTTCACTCTTTTTCTGGCTCTTTTCTTACTCAGTAGAGCCTGCCCCATCTGTCCCCACCTTGTGAATTCTAGCTAAGTCAGTGCAGAGTGCAAGGTGGTGCTTTCAACTAGGGCTGGTTGCTGTACTGGCTGGTCGTGAGCTCAGGTGGCTTCTGCTCCTGTTTGCCACTTGACTAGAGCCACTTTCTTGGGTAAAACCAACATTACTTCACGTGTTCCCTAGGGCCCCTTCAGCGTGAGATGTTTTTGCCTAGGTGGAGAGAGGGGAGGGGCCAGAGGTCTGATACTAAAGTCCTGATAGTCTCCACACATGGTCACTGTGACCCACTGTCTCCTGGCAGTGCTTCCTGCTGTCTGGGCAGAGCAGGCCACCTGTGACAGCTGGTCCTTTGAGGTGAGGATGGCCAATAGCCACCTGGTATCACTGCAAACCTTGTAGCCTTTCCCCTGCAAAAGGGCACTCTTCTGTGCCTGGTGACTCGTCTAAGCCTCTGGAACGTTTCATGGTCCATTTACAAACCCCCTTGGAAATGACTGGTTGTGTTGCGTCAGTTTTTGTGTGTGGGAAATGGGCCCATAACGCTGCAGGCTCCAAAAATTTCTTATTTATAGTATTTCTACTTAAGTCCCTTATTCAGGGAATGTTAAATCATTTGTTTCTGGAACCTTGCTGTTTCCCGGGTCTCGCTGTTACACCCATATATTCTTATTGTGCAGTAGCCTTAATAGTTGTGTTAACTTCATTGTAACAACAGTGACAAATGGAATGAACTTTCTCCCCCCCCTTTTTTTTTTTTTTTTACTTTGTTTTTGTTTCTTCTGCTTCCACATCTAAGAGCCATGTTGTCTCTTGCTGGTTTCCCAGGGATTTGCCCAGAGTGTGGAGGGCCCCTGGCCCTTTCTATAGACTCTTCTGTTGTTGTTTGTAGTAAGTCAACTCTTAGTCTTCCCACTAATAAATATTCAGTAACAAACCAACTGCGTTCTAGCTGCTGTCTGGGAGCAGCAATTCCCCTTGTGTTTCTTTGTACTGATTCCTTTTAATTTGTTCAGCTCTTTGCCGGATGAAAGTATGTAAACTTTTACCATGTCAAGAAATTAAAATAAGGTACTTTGAATTCTTTTAAGCTAGACCCTTGTGTATGATACTGAGCTCTTGGATAGGCTGTGCAGTGTTAATGTCTGTTCTGGTCCTGCCATTCTCACGTCCAGTTGCTCCTTCGCTACATTGTCCTCCTTCCTCTTTTTGACTGTGTTGTAAATCGCTGTGTACAGCTTTGTAGGTTGTTTCTGTTCCTTTAGCAGGCCTTACGGTAGGCCCACGGTTGTAGGCTTGATGTGATCTGTCCCACTCTAATCCAGTGCGTTGGACTAAGGTCATCTCAGTTAAAAGAGATGTGATTTGCATGATGCTTCTGTAAGAGAGCCTGGAACCTGCTCCGTGGCTACCGCTGCATCTCTGCTGAGCAGATGTCTACAGTATCGTCTTGGGGCAGGCACCTTGAATGCCACACTTGGTACATATATTCAGTACATGGTCTGTTACTCTCTAGGTTCCTCTGTGCATGTGATGCCTAAGGAAATATAGGCCTGGGTCATCCCCCTGGGTCAAAGCTGTCCTCACCTCTACCCAGAGGAATGTCCTTGTTTTCATTCCGCTTCCTTCTGTGTCTGTTATACCATAACCTGGATTGCAACAACCTGCTCTCCAGTGTTTAGCCTAGTGGCTCTCTTGTTCCCTGAACACTCTGTCTGCCAGCTGGTGGTTTCCACGCCCCTTCTGTGAGCCTGCTCCTTAGGAAACGCAGAACTCTGCACCCGGGTGGAGGGAGGAGTTTCGTCTCCCCTTCTGACCTGGGTGCCACTAGGTGGGGCCCTTGATCCAGCTTGGGGAGCACTGCCTGGCCCAGGCTGAGCCCTGGGTTCCTGAATGTGTTCATCCAGCCCTAGAATCTTCAACTCCTGAGAAACAGGAGCAGCAGCTTGTGGACAGACGCGTCCTGCAGGGCCGTCTACTGCACGGTGCTCCCTATGGTATGGGAAAGTCCTGCTGGTGTCCGAGCTGCTCGTAGGAAGGCAGGAATAGAGCTGAAAACACGGGTTCCTTGGGGCTAAAGCAGCTGGAGCCAGAGCTCGGGAGGGTTGCTGTTGACAGGACCCAATGTGGTGCAGCATGAGGGGTACCTCCTCACCACAGCCAGAAGAAATTAAATACCCAGGTGCCCTGTGCCAGCAGTTCGGTGGAAAGAAGGAGCATCCAAGACAGTTGTGCTGATAGGGAGCATGGGCCCTTCCACAGAGGGAAGGGTTTGTTGTCTGTGATCCTCAGTCTCAGTGCAGTGTTTTTCTGCTTTGCTCTCCAGCAGAAGTGGCAACATGCCATCAGAGCTTGAATTCAGATTCTTGAGGCATTTCAGCTTATGTGCAGTTACTGTTAAACCTTTTGAGAGGAGAATAAAGGCACAGCAGTTGTGTGCAGGCACAAATGCTGCCAGAAACACAGCCAGCCTGAATAAGGTTCAAGCAGTTTCCAGCATTCTGCTTTAAACAAGCTGACCATATGAAATGTGATAATGGGAGTGGGAGATTTCCAGAGTCTGAGATCTGGCTTGGGGTGTTAAGACATGCCAATGTCAGGACTGCTGGTGAAGGGTACTTGGTACTGTAGTCTTGACCCACCTGCTTTGCAGTCGCAGACTCTTGAGTTTCCCTCGTCTGCAGGGTGTCTGTCATGAGTTTTGTTTTCTATAAATTTCAGAGACTATTTTTGCCATGTCCACCTTTCTGTGTGAGCAAAGGACAGCAAACTCCTCCCTTCCCTGTTCTGTTTGGGAGAGGTGGGCAATTTACCAAGTATAAGAAGTATGGATGGGCAGTACCTAAAAGCAACCATGTAGCCAAAATAAACATCAGTAGGATGTGAATTCTCCATGTTAGGTGTGAGACAGAGTCACGGGTTAATCAAACTGGTGGCATGAGGTGTGGGAAGGGGTATGTGTGCCAAACACATAAACAAGTTATGCTGCTGTTAGTGAGACATGTCATTTTAAAAATTCTAGGTTAGCTCTAAGCTGCTTCAGGCCTCATCTTTTAGAGAAGGTGTGCAAGCAGTTCAGTGGTACGTGTGGCCCTTAACGATCCCTGATCACTTTTCATCAGTAAGGTGTTGATTCAGGTTTCCTGGCTCAGCAAGCTCAATGAATTACTGTGCTTCCTGAAATCTCTACTGCAAGATAGAGATGTATTTAGGGTTGTTCTGTTTGTTGTGAAACAGAACTCCCACAGAATGCAGGCTGATTCTTATGTTGCTTGTAATATGCTTTAAAAGTCTTCAGTTTTAGAAGTACAACAGAAGTAGCTGGTATTAAATAATATGTGGTATTAGACATGATGTCTGTGGCACTTATTCTGTAACGGGGCAGAAGCAGCACAGAAAGAGCTTCATTTGTGTCAGCTATATCCTGAAGACCTGGGGTGTATGCTGTGGGTGTGTTTGTCATAGGGATGTCATTATAGATTAGGTTTTGTTTTTTTTTTTCTTGTGTTCCTAACACCAGACAGGCACAGAAATAACAATGTTCCCATACTTTATTTTCAGACATCTTGCCGGCAAGTTGTTCGGTTGAGTCATGATTTGTGGGGCAGTAAGGCCTATGGAGTTTATCCAGTTCTCTTAAACCACTGTCATGCTGCTCAGAAAAAGATCTTCTCTAATTGCAGCCTGTGCCTTGACTTTTAGGGACTTATGATGTAAAACCAAAAGGCAAAGTTTATCAGTCAAAACTAAATGATCTGTTCTTTTGTACTTTAAGGAAATGTGAATGTGGACATTGTACATGCAGTCTCAGAGGTTCTTGCAGCAGTCTCGGCTCAGCTATGTAGGTATATGTTGCAGCAGAATGCTTGTTAAATTTCTGGGAGGCAGGAAGCATGCCCTGGCTCTGCTCCTAACTTGCTTGTGTGGGGCGACAGCACTCCCTCTCTTCTCTTTACTGTTTGTAAAATGGGATATCATGTTCCAGACTTGCACCAAAAGGGAATTTTGCTCTCCAGCTTAACCCCAAGTGACCTTGGAAGCCATACTGACCTCACAAACTGAGAGACTGACTTGAAAGTCAAAACTTCCTTGCTTAATTTGGGGCGACTCGGACATCTTACTCTGCCATTAAAGGCTGGTTGGAAGTTGATGAGAGGGACGTACCTCTGAAACCTGTAGCTGTTGCATCCCTCATAGCCAAGGCTCTTTTCTCATGCCCTGTCTATTCCCATTGCTTATCTCTGTGTCACCAAGAGAGAGCCTTTTCTGGCACAGTGGCCATGTAACTTGACTGTTATGGTTCATATGGGCCTTGCTGGTGTGACTGCCAGTGAGGCAGGAATGGTGCTTGCTGGCATGAAGTGAACATGCATGCATTTCTCTTGTCTTCACAGCTGCAGCCTAGGCTAAAGAAGTCTGAGGGCTGCCAGTGGTGGTGAGAATAATGGACTGTGTCCTATAGCAACATGGCCTTCTGCCTACCAGTGTGGTATCTGGTAAGTGCTGCAGGAGGACAGTGAGGAGAGGCTGAGTCCAGGGCAAGATCAGCTGCAGAGGAAGAACTCGAGGCAGCACCCAGGGATGAGGGCCTATCTCCCACCAGAAAACTCTGGGAGGAAGAAGGGAAGGCTAGGGTGAGGTGAGGTGAGGCTGGCAGCAGGAGTGGAAATGTTGGGTTGACTCTCCAGCCCTGGTTCTCTTGCATTCCTTATGCTTCTCAGCACCAGCTCAAGGACAGGCAGGGATTGTAGCTAAAGCTGTGCATCTTGTCTTCCCCAAGCATCTATGCTGTGGTGGAACAGAGCACTGAGTCTGGCTGTCACCTTCTGCCCAGCCCTTTCAAGAGTGCTGTGAAACCGGTAAGGAGCCCACCTGTGACAGTGGCTGAAAGCAGTTTTCACAACCTTTGACTAGTAGGAATCCCAGAGGTGTCAGCTCAGCCTGGGGAGCAGGGTAGACTGGCAGCATCTTCCTGCTTGAATGCCAAAGGCAGAGCATAAGGTTGGGGTGTTTTTGTCCTTGAGAGAACTTCTCAGAAGCTGCACCTCAGTTTATCTTTGAATCTGAGGTAGAGACAAAAGCTGCTTGATCTTGTCTCAGCGGAGCGTTGGGGGGACTAATTGGTTAATAGCTATTCAGAGGTGCAAACTAAGAGCTAATTGTTCACTGTGCAGTGGGGCCTGAATCTCATCCCAAACTACATCTCTCCATGCCTGCCAAAGTTTTTCTACTACTACACAGAAGGATGTGTTTTCAGCAAAGGCTTCCATGTGGAAGATTTAAAAAAAAAAAAAAAAAAAAAAAAAAAAAAAAAAAACTTTTAACTGGTTCTGAAATCATGCTGCCAGGGAGAATATTTACAAGGAAGTAGACTGATAAACAAGGAAACTCGGTGAGTTGCAGAGGTGAAATTCTACAGTGTGGCAGCAGTTCTCAGCTTGTAAGAGCTTCACAATGGTCCCAGCCACCTCAGGTTGACTACATGATCGTCGTTTTTACAGGCAGCCTCAGGAAATTGGGTTGGACTGAAAAAGTAACAGAATGATGTGAAATTTGTCTGAGTCACTGACTCTGCATCACCGCTAGTTCTTTCAGGGAACTGCTCTTGGAGGAAGACAGAGCAGACTGCAGCTGAGAGTGGAGATCTGCCCTTTCTGGTCACCACAAATTTCAGATCTCCTCCCCTAACCTCTCCCAGTCTTTTGTACTTTCTGCACTAATCTATCCAGTGCAGCATAAACTGACAGAGGCAGCAGCTAGAAACTCCACTCTGGAAGCTCTCTTAAAAACCTCAGGATCCACAGCAGACATGAACGTGAAAACCGTGCTCATCCTCCTCGTTCTGGCTTTGGCCACGATATTCGCGTTGGTCTGCGTGCTGCTGACCAGGGGAAGGGCTCCCAGCACCTGCCAGCCCCAGCACCCGGAGCAGGAGGACACCGATGATGGGCAGAGCCTGGTTTTTGCTGATCTGACCCCAGAAGAAATGGTCCAAGTGGTGCGGTACCTGCAGGAAAACCTCGGGGTGCCGCTGGTTGATGCCTCGCGTGCTTTTCCCTCCGACAACTGCATCTTCTCAGTGGACGTGCAGGTCCCTGCCAAGGCAGAGGTGCTGCAGTTCCTGGATGGCGGGGGGGCTCGCCCTGCGCGGGAGGCGCTGGCTGTCCTGTACTTTGGCAACCAGCCGGACCCCAACATCACGGAGTACGTGGTGGGGCCGCTGCCAACACCGGCGTACCACCGGGACGTCACTGTGCAGAAGTATGGGGGGAGAGTGCCATACCACCGCAGGCCAACGTTGGCTGTTGAATACAAACAGATTGCAGGGTTTTTAAGGAGTCAAGTGTTCTCCACAGCTCCATCTTTCATGCATCAAGTAATTGAATATAATGAAACCAGTTTAGCAGCCATGACAACGGCTCCCCGTGGTTTCCAGTCTGGAGATCGGGCCACCTGGTTTGTTCTGTTTCAGAATGTGAGCGGGTTCTTCCTGCACCCTGTGGGGCTGGAGGTGCTGGTGGACCACAGCAGCCTGGACATCTCCCAGTGGGTGGTGAGCAGAGTCTTCTACAACGGGCAGTACTACAGGGACATGGTGCAGCTGGAGAGCGCCTACGTGCAGGGTCGCATCAGTGTGGAGAAGGTGAAGAAAGCCCCACGGGACGGGGACTTCTCATCCATGAAGCCGCGAGCCCCTCCTGCCGCGATGTTCCCTTTGCAGTATGAGCCCCAGGGTCCCCGCTACAGCGTCAGGAACAACCATGTTGTCTTCCAGGCCTGGAGCTTTGCCTTTGGGATGAGTGTGAACACGGGCATGCGCCTGTTTGACGTCAGATATCAGGGGGAGAGGGTTGTCTATGAGATCAGCGTTCAAGAGGCCTTGTCAGTGTATGGCTCCAACTGTCCTGGAGGGATGTCAACAAGGTACATGGATGGGAGTTTTGGCATTGGGCGCTTCACCTCTCCTTTAGTGCGTGGTGTTGACTGCCCCTATTCAGCAACTTACATGGATGTGTACTACCTTGCTCAGTCGCAGGTCTCCAGAACTACTAAAAACGCCCTCTGCGTTTTTGAGCATAACCTGGGCTCCCCTCTGAGGCGCCACTACTCCAACTTGCAGTCCTTCTACTATGGGGGACTAGTCAACTCTGCTCTGATTGTTCGATCCATTGCAACTCTGGGCAACTACGACTATGTGTGGGACTTCATCTTCTACCAGAATGGGGCCATTGAAGCCAAAGTCCAGGCCACGGGGTACGTGAGCTCGTCCTTCCTCCACGGGGATGGTCTGAGATACGGCAATAGGGTTTGGGAGCACACGCTGGGCACGATACACACCCATTCCATCAACTATAAAGTGGACTTGGATGTGGGAGGTAGGTCTGGGTCTTGACTTCCTTAATACCTGACATTATATTGATAAGCCACAGAGCTTGGGCAGGGCCAGATTGGCCTCCTAGTCTGTAGAGCTCCTCATAATTGTCATCAGAAGCCTGCTTTTTCCCTCTTCTCACCTCCTTTTTCACTCCAAAATTACTTTTCTACATATAAAATAGTCTATCAAAGGCACCACGTTGAAGGCAGTGGATATTGTCTGGGAGGTCTGTGCTCAGCCCAGGGAAAGTATGAAAGGTAGCAGCTGAAATACATTTGTGTTTCCTTGAGGCCTCACAGCTGGCACTGTGTGTGTTGCCAGAAGCATGGCCAGGCAGACAGGGCAGAGACAGCCCTGTCTGCAGGACTGGATGAGTGAGCCTGCCCTTGTTAGGTCTGTGCTTGTCCTGGCACTCTCTCCTTGTAAGCTGGGAAAGTGCCTTCCTGTGTCTCAGCTGCCCAGTGTAAAGCAGGGCAGCTGAACTTGTGTGCTCCAGGGCTGAACTTGTGCAGTTCTATTCGCAGTTCTCTTTTGTGGAAACACTTGTAACTTGGATCCTGAGACTCGGCGTGCAAAGCTGCTGCAGTGAGCCAGTGAATTTCCCCTGCTGCTAAACGCGGTCATGTTTTCTGGCAGCGGATCCCTGCAGAAGTTATTTCGGTCTGCGAGGACCAGCTCTCTGCTGCACCATCTGGTGGACTAAACAATTAAGCGCTGACATCGACTGCTGCTCGCCTTCATCGACTGAGAAGGCTCAAGGATGTTTGGGATGAAATAACTGGTTTTGCTTCCCATTTGAAAGCTAGTCTGGTAACTGCTAGGGCAGTGGTGATGCTGAGGACATAGATTGGCAGTGTTAGATGTCTGTTATCAAAACCTGCAGATGTCAAAAGTAGGAAAAAATGCTGAACATCTGCACAGGACCAGAGAGACCACTGGTAGGTAGTGGGCATCAGCCCAAGAGGAAATGCCAGCCTAATAATGCACATTGCTGGATTTGTGCAGAGCTATTGGAAATCTAAATATATTTAGCAGCAGTTAACTCCAGTGCAAGTATTTGATCTAGGCACATGTTCTTTATGTGAGGTGCTGTTTGTACTGAGCTGCTGCTGCTGCTGTCATTATGGTTAGAAGCAGGACTGAGAATGGTTCCCCTCTTGTAAGCAGGGCTTGAAAACATGCTAGATCATAGTTCCTGCCTGGTGGCAAGGCCCTCTTCTGTGACTGCTGTGCCCCTTGGTTTCCTGTTTTGTTCACAGACCCTGAGCCCTGGCTACAGCGAAGTACTCTTGGGATGAGTTGTGTAAAATTCTGAATGTGAGCCGCTTCTCAAGGGAATGAGAATGCTTGTCCTAAGCACAGAGACCAGTGGCAATACAGGATGCTTGAAGAGGAGCCCTAAAGAACGCACAAGTTAAGTGAGGCAGGAAAAACAAAACTGCAGCACAACAAAAATCCATCATTTTCCCTTACAGGTTTTGTTTGTCCTGAGCTGAGACTGGTATGGGACCTTCAGGGAAAATGGGCAAGTATTCCCTGGATGGAAGTGTGAATGAAAACATAAGTTGTTAAATTAACATGATCTTGATAGCAGTGGTAGCCAGGGCAGTGGTGATTTCGGGCCCCAGTCCAGGCCCTCCTCCTATGCCTCAAACTTCTGACCTCATCAGAAGAGTGCAAAGTGCTTGGACCATGATCTCTGGCTAGAACACAATCCATGGGTGCTTGTAGTGTAACACTGGCTGCTGCCTCACACAGAGCTTGGGCCTGATTCGGGGCCACGCAGGGTCAACCTTGCAAAAGCTGGCAGGCTAGTACAGGAACAGCCAAGGGCAGACCTGGGCCTGCACCTCCAGGGAGGGCACTGGTGGCCTGGACAGCAAGGAGTAGCCAGCACCACACAAACAGGGAGGGGCAGCCTCCAGCCCCCCATGTCCTTGCACGGTGCCTCAGAAGGGCTGCTTGGTGCTGTCCTGGTCGCCAAGACAGGTCTGTGCAGAGAAGGGTTTTTGAGCATCCTGGGCTGTGCAGGTGGGAATGCTGAACTGTATCCTGCAGGTCACCATTTTTGTCCATCTCGGCACTTGTCCAAGGATCATGTCAGCTGCAGTGGGGTTGGGGTGGGGGAAGAAGGGCTGAACAGGGACTGATCTCACCTGGTAGTGCCTGTGTGGCCTCTACTCTTCTTCCTGCAGCCCCTCCAGATGCAGTCTGTGGCTTGCAGTTGCTGCCTGGGTTTCACTGAGCATTACCCGTTCTTGCCAGGGAGCTTTCTCCTGTCTCGGCCAGCAGTCCCCAGCTCCTGCCAGTTTGCCTGCAGCCAGAGCCAGAACTGGAGCAGCCAGGCCTCTTCCCTTACGGGTGGGAAAGACTTGGAGGCAGCAGAGAACGGCAACAGTGAGAACAGACCGCACAGAGGGAAGTTTTGGGCGTAGCTGAAATGCCAGCATCGGCAGACTCATCGGGAGGGAGGCCGATCCTAGGGCACCCAAGTGCCCTAGGGGAAGGGGTCAGGCCTGCTGAGCCTCCCCAGCAGCGGTGCTGCACTCGCGTCAGCCTGCGTCCTGCACCCAGCCCCAGGCCTCGACACGTGGAGCCCGTGCCTCGACGCTGCGCCTCGGAGCATGCACCACTGTGGTGGCACAGCGCCAGCCAGTGCACTGCTGACAGCGGGGTATGGGCCATGGGGGGAGGGTAGCGGATTGCTCATTCGGTGGAGTTCATGTTTTGGACCGAACATTGTGCCTTCTCATCTGAACGCAGGTGTGCTGACCGTGCTGAAGGTGAGGGCTGGTGAGTCCATACCTGCACAAGGCAGGATGGGCTGTCTTGTTGGGAGAAGCCAAAGCCCCTTGGGCAGACCAAGGCCTAGGCTGTTCCTGGTGTTGCTCTGCAATGGAGAAACCAATCAGTAACTTGGGGAGCGAGTCGAGCATTGGTTCTGCAGCTGGCTTTCTTGGTGTGTCTGCGGTGGGGGGAAAAAACAGGCTGAACTGGCTGGGACCTGTGATCTGTGAACTGAGTAAATGTGAGCTCCAGGCTTCCTCCCCACCTTGTGAGTGACGCCTTTACGCCCACGGTTAGCAGCAGCATAAGAGCCTGGTCTGCCCAAGAGCCGTATTCTGGATGCTGCAGCCAAACCCTACAAGCTGTCTCTGCGCTTGGAGAGATGAACCCAAGACTCCCCTACGTTCTCCTGGTTGGGGCTGCAGTGATTATTTTCATTCTCTCCTGCATGTTGCTGAGCAGGGGGAAACGATCCGCAAGCTGTGAATCCCACCCCCGCAACGTGGAGAAGACTGGGTCCAGGAGCCAGAGCCTGGTTTTTGCCGATCTGACCCCAGAAGAAATGGTCCAAGTGGTGCGGTACCTGCAGGAAAACCTCGGGGTGCCGCTGGTTGATGCCTCGCGTGCTTTTCCCTCCGACAACTGCATCTTCTCAGTGGACGTGCAGGTCCCCGCCAAGGCGGAGGTGCTGCAGTTCCTGGGTGGCGGGGGGGCTCGCCCTGCGCGGGAGGCGCTGGCTGTCCTGTACTTTGGCAACCAGCCGGACCCCAACATCACGGAGTACGTGGTGGGGCCGCTGCCAACACCGGCGTACCACCGGGACGTCACTGTACAGAAGTATGGGGGGAAGGTGCCATACCACCGCAGGCTGATGCTGGGCAGTGAGTACGAGCAGGTGGGAATGTTTGTAAAGACAGTGGCGTTTGCTGGAGCCTCAACCTTCCTGAAGGAAGTATTTGAGTATGATGGCACCAATGTGGTGTTTCAAACCGCAGCCCCACACGGGTTCCAGTCTGGAGACCGTAGGTCATGGTGCATTGTGTTTCAGAATGTGAGCGGGTTCTTCCTGCACCCTGTGGGGCTGGAGGTGCTGGTGGACCACAGCAGCCTGGACATCTCCCAGTGGGTGGTGAGCAGAGTCTTCTACAACGGGCAGTACTACAGGGACATGGTGCAGCTGGAGAGCGCCTACGTGCAGGGTCGCATCAGTGTGGAGAAGGTGAAGAAAGCCCCACGGGACGGGGACTTCTCATCCATGAAGCCGCGAGCCCCTCCTGCCGCGATGTTCCCTTTGCAGTATGAGCCCCAGGGTCCCCGCTACAGCGTCAGGAACAACCATGTTGTCTTCCAGGCCTGGAGCTTTGCCTTTGGGATGAGTGTGAACACGGGCATGCGCCTGTTTGACGTCAGATATCAGGGGGAGAGGGTTGTCTATGAGATCAGCGTTCAAGAGGCCTTGTCAGTGTATGGCTCCAACTGTCCTGGAGGGATGTCAACAAGGTACATGGATGGGAGTTTTGGCATTGGGCGCTTCACCTCTCCTTTAGTGCGTGGTGTTGACTGCCCCTATTCAGCAACTTACATGGATGTGTACTACCTTGCTCAGTCGCAGGTCTCCAGAACTACTAAAAACGCCCTCTGCGTTTTTGAGCATAACCTGGGCTCCCCTCTGAGGCGCCACTACTCCAACTTGCAGTCCTTCTACTATGGGGGACTAGTCAACTCTGCTCTGATTGTTCGATCCATTGCAACTCTGGGCAACTACGACTATGTGTGGGACTTCATCTTCTACCAGAATGGGGCCATTGAAGCCAAAGTCCAGGCCACGGGGTACGTGAGCTCGTCCTTCCTCCACGGGGATGGTCTGAGATACGGCAATAGGGTTTGGGAGCACACGCTGGGCACGATACACACCCATTCCATCAACTATAAAGTGGACTTGGATGTGGGAGGTAGGTCTGGGTCTTGACTTCCTTTGTGTCCTTATTGAATATTTTTAGATCTCCAAAACTGAGCATTTTGTGCACCTTATACAGGCTTTCCTTTCCAGGTGTGTTGTAGAACACAGAGCTGTCTCCCTTCTGTTCTTATAGTGGGGAAAACTCTTGTAATGTGGAGGGAGGTTCTACTTCCCCTGTCCCATGGAGTTATCCATAAGTGCCATGTAGGATTGCAGCTTCCCAGGCTGGATAAAGCTAGCACTGCAGTATGGCCATCTCATGCCCTCTAATGGGAAGGGGATAGTTCCTGCAGCCTGTGGTTCCCGCGTGGTCAGTTCCTCTGCATGCAGCCCTGAAACGGTCTGCTGTGAGGTCACTGGCATCAGCACTTCTGCTCTGTCCGTTCTTCCACCTGCGCAAGCTGGGCCTTGTGTGCTCGCTCCAGGCTCCTGCAGGCAAACAGTCCCTGTCCCAGCTCTGTTGGTCTTGATGCCTCTGTGACTCTTCAGAAGTCAGGATTTTTCCCTCTGGTACCTTGCCCTTCCTTAGCCTCTTCTGACACCTAGGTGTCCTGAACACCAAATGATAATCTGAATTGATCAAGCTGGATAGCTGGGGTGGATGTGGTTTCCAGCTCACATTCCTGTTTCTTCTTACAGCTTTTTCCAGTTATCCTTGCTGTTTGTGTGGGGGGGTGGGACAGCCAACTGCCCTATTCCTAGAGCTACAGGCAAAGCAGTAAGATCCTTGGTTGGCAGCCAGTTGTGAACATACAGCCAACCGTGAGCTCAGTTGTGCTGCGCTTTGCCAGGGGTACAAGGCATTGTTTGCTCACAGCAGCAACTGGAGGACAGGCTGTGGTTTATTAGATCTTCCACTAGCACTTAT